TAGGTCCACACACTTCCTGCTCTATGAGCTTTATCGTAATTCTTAAAGCTATGTATGGATCCTGCCTCCACTACATTACTCCAGATTGTTCTACTTTGTGACAACTCTATGGCTGAAGAAAAGCTTCCTAACATCCCAGTGACTCGTCTGAGCTTTCAATTTCCATTTGTGCCCCCTTGTTGCCGTGTCCCATCTCTGAAATATCCTGTCCCTATTCACCTTATTGATTCCTCTCGGTATTTTATGACATTATCATGCCCCCCCCCCGCTATCTCTCCAGTCCTCCAGTGTCGTCAGATCGATTTCCCTTAACCTCTCCTCGTAGGACATACCCCTTAGCCCCATGACTAGTCTTGTTGTAAACCTTTGCACTTTCTTTAACTTCATTAGGTGCTTGTACACTCTCTGCGGTCTTTGACCTTCCCCAATCTTCATAACTTTGCACTTCGTTGGTTTAAACTTCAAAGGGATCTGGACAGGCTAGCAGCCTGTCCAGATCCCTTTGTAATTCTACCTGATCCTCATCCACTTGAATTCTCCGCATTAGCTTTACGTTGTTTGCAAACAGAGAACCCCTGAATCTGTTCCTTCCGTCATGTCATTCACATACATATTCATATACCAGAAACAGCACCAGCCCTAGGACTGACCCTTGTGGAACCCTGCTCATCACAGTCGCCCACTCTGACACCTTGTCACGTACCATCACTTCTTTCTTTCCTGTCAGGTATTCTCTAATCCATTGCAGTACCTTTTCTGTTATTCCTGCCTGCTCCTCTAGCTTTTGCACTAATCTCTTGTGTGGAACTGTGTCCAAAGCATTCTTATAATCCAAGAAAATGCAGTCTACCCACCCCTCTCTCTCCTGCCTTACATCTGTCACCTTGTCGTACAACTCTAGTAGGTTTGTGACATAGGATTTTCCCTCCCTGAAACCGTGCTGGTTATCGTGTATAAGCCCATTCCTTTCTAGGTGCTCCACCAGTCTTTTCCTAATAGCTTCTCCATGACTTTGCATACTGTACATGTCAGTTTAATACTACCTGCCTGTCTCCTATAATTGTCTTCCACAACTCAGGTAGCTGCCCTGTTTCGATAGATGTGTTAAAGATTGTTGTTAGTGGTACACAGAGCGCCTCTGCTCCCTCTCTCAGGACCCACAGGGAGATGTCCAATCCCATCACCTCTGACGTATCTAGCTCACTTAGCAACCTCTTCACCTCCTCGGTTGTGTACAGCGTGTCCATAACTTGTTGGTGTACCCTACCATTAACCCTTTGACTGTTTCCGACGTATAAATACGTCTTACGAGCCAATGTTTCTGACGTATTTATACGCACAAATTCTAGCGGCTTCAAATCGAGCGCCAAAGGCCTGATAGGCCTACACGGGAGAGAATGGGTCTCAGTGGTCGGTGTGCACCCTGTGAAAAAAATCTGGGACCTAGCGGTGCATTGTGGGAACGCCATGTTGTCAGTCCATTTTCACCATGCCTCTCGGTAAGAAGTTCCTCACTCCTCGGCGGATTGGAGGTCTTTTGTTCCCAAGTGATAGCTCTAACAGCGATGAAAGTGTCAGTGACAGTGAATTCAAGGGTTTTCAAGTGAGTGTTACCGAAAAAAGTGCCCAGGATAACGTAAATAGTGACGAAAACCCAGATGACCCACAACCTTCGACCTCTGGTGCTGTGCCGGCTTGTTCACGTTCACGTTCGCCTGTACCAGGACAAAAGGGAGGAAACTATTTGGTCGTGTACAAACACCCTGATGAAAAGCAGTGATAGTGATAGTGATAGTGATAGTGATTTCAAAGTCATTGAAAGCAGTTCTAGTGACAGTGAGAGTGAATATTTCCACAGTGAAGTGCCAGTATGTACGACGTAGCATGCGGTCTGGTAGTGTTTCATATGTTGTTCCAAGGGGAAGGAGAAACTCTGGGAGCACATCCCGTGGCCCAACACCACGACCTGATAGTGAAGATGACGATATTGTAACGATGGTATGAATGGTGACAGTGAGGAGTGAGGAGTGGTGGTGATAGTGAGGGTGGCACGGCCCATGTGGCACCATCACCGGGCCACGCTACTAGCCACGGGGCTGACTCAGCAGACCAACCAGCCTCACCCTACCCCACACTGCCACAACCTGCACCACCACAACCTGCACAGCCACAACCACAGCACAACCACGGTACAATATCCAGACCCCACCAGCAGACCGATCTTGGATTGGCAGGACGGTTGACGAGTTTGTTCCCAGTCCCCATGACTTTGATGAAACACAAAGTGAATAAAGCATCTTGTCCACTTGGGAACAATGCCAGTGAACTGGACTGCTTTGAGTTATTCTTCGATGAACCCCTGATGGACATCATTGTCAGGGAAACCAACACATACTGTGAATACACCATGGTAAATACAATTCTCTCACCAAAATCACGGCTACACAAGTGGAAGGAGACAACTGTGGCAGAGATGTACCTGTTTTTTGCCACAATAATGCTTATGCCACATGTGTATAAGCACACTGTCACCACATACTGGACAACAGATCGCCTGATTTCAACTCCAGGTTTTAGTGACATTATGGTGTCAATCGTTTCCTGATACTGTTGCGTATGTTACACTTTTCAGACAAAACCAGGCCTGACAGAAGCGACAGGTTATATAAGATAAGAAATGTGTTTATGTACCTGAAACAAAAGTGCTGCATGTATTTTATCCCTTCAGGAAGCTTGTATTGATGAGTCCTTGATTTTATTCAAAGGAAGACTCTCATTCAAGCAATATATACCAAGCAAGAGGAAACGCTTGGTATAAGCTATATGTACTGTGTGATTGCAGAAGTGGTCTTGTTTTAGATATTATTGTGTACACTGGCAGTAATACTTTGAGAGATACCATGAAGTTATTGGGTATCTCTGGTGATGTGGTTCGAACAATGATGGAACCATATCTTGGTAAGGGGCATATGTTATTTACTGATAACTGGTACACAAGCCCCTTACTCAGTGATTTCTTGCGAGTGAACTTGACAGACGTGTGTGGCACAGTGCGTGGTAATCGCAAACATATGCCAAGGTTCGAAAGCTGGCACTCGCAGAGGTGAGGTGCAAGCCCTTTGCTGCCAATGACATCATGGCATTTCGGTGGCATGACAAACGTGATGTCACATTGTTGACATCAGTTCACAGAAACGAAATGGTACCCAGTGGCAGGGACAACAGAGAGACCAATGAACCCATTCTAAAGCCTGCAGCTGTCATGGACTACAACCTCAATATGCGCTTAATGGACAAATGTGACATGCAGATTGGGTTTGCAGACTGTGTACGCAAGAGTTTATAAGTGGTATATCAAACTTTTTTTCCATCTTGTTGATATCTCTATGCTAAATGCTTATAACATATACAAGTTGAAGACCAACAAAACACCAAAATATGGTGAATTTTGCCTGTCAGTAATCAGACAAATAATTGCAAAGTACAAAGGAGCAACTCCTGCAATAGACCAGCGCCACAAGACGTCATCTCGTTTGAGGCCTGGTGATCACTACCCCATACAACTGCCTCCTACTACTGCCAAGAAAAATGCTCAGAAGAGGTGTTATGTATGTATGCATACCACAAAACGCCCACAAACACGCAGAGACACTCGTTTTATGTGTGAGGAGTGTGAAGTGCCCCTCTGCATATACCCATGTTTCAAAGAGTTCCACAAGCTGCAGCAGTTCTAGGAACGTGGTTAGTGACTGTACATATGTATATATATTATGGAACAATAGTAATAAACATTGTTTTGTATTGTTTGTTTGTGTAAACAAAGTGTATACACAAACTAATAGTGATAAAGTTTGTTCTGTTATTGTGTTGTAAATAATGAGTGTATATTTGAACAATGCACCTTACATTGGTCTCACAGGCCACATAAGTTACCCGGAAAAGAAAAAATATGAAAAATGCAAGAAACCTTTGAATTAGAGTAAATAAAAGAATACCGGGTGGGCGGCAGTCGCCGCTGTTGCCGTACGCACGTCAATTTCTGCAAACTTTGCGGCTCTATATCTCGGTAAGTACTGATGGCAAAAATTTTTTTTTAGGCTTAAAACACTAGTAAAAATATTCCTAACATTTTCATAAGAAAAAATAATTTTTTTTTTTTCGAATATTTGGCGACATAGAATGACAGTTTCAGAGAGGGCCCTGAAACAGTCAAAGGGTTAAAGTCTACTGTAGTCCAGCCTGTTTCCACTGAAAATACTTAAATCTTGTGTTTAGCTCTTCACACACTTCTCGGTTCTTTTCTTGTGATCTCTCTTCCTTCCTCAGCCTGATTACCTGGTCCTTGACTGTTGTTTACCTCCTGATGTGGCTGTACAGCAGTTTTGGGTCAGATTTGGCTTTCATTGCTATGTCATTCTCGTATTGCCTCTGGGCCTCCCTCCTTTTCCATACATATTCATTTCTGGCTCTTCTGCTAATCTCCTTATTTTTCTGGGTCCTTTGTCTTCTCTATTTTTTTTTCCATTCTCTAGTGCACTTAGTTTTGGCTTCTCTGCATCCCTGGGTGAACCAAGGGCTCGTTTTGGCCTTCACATTGATTCCATTGCCCTTAGGTACGAACCTCTCCTCTGCCTCTTCGCAGTTTTGTGTTCACCTATTCCATCATTTCACCCATTCTTTTTCCCACCATTTCTCTTTCCCACTGTACCTCATGCAGGAAATTCCTCATACCTGTGTAGTCCCTTCTCTTATAGTTTAGCTTTTCTTATCCTAATCGTGCTGCTTCCCTCTCTGCTTTTAGCTGTGCAGTGTATTCAAAGCTCTGGACCACATGATCACAAGTTCCATGGGGTCTCTCATATGTGATATCCCCAATGTCTGAACTACTTAAGGTGAATATGAGGTTGTCTTGCTGGTTCATCTTCTCCCCCCCCCTCTCTCTCTCTCTCTGGCAGTGTCCATGACATGGTGATGCATGAGGTTTTCCAGTACCATCCCCATCATCTTGGCCCTCCATGATCCTGGTCCTCTGTGTGGCTCCAGGAACGTGGAGGGCTGTGGGTGATTTCGGTCTCCTTGTGACTGAGATCACCCACAGCTAGTAACTTTGCCCTGCTCATGTTGGCCCTTCTGGCAACCTCAGCTGGCGTTTCAACCATTGCTCTACTGTTCTCATCATATTCTTGTCTTGGTTTCCTGCTATTCAGTGGCGGGTTGTACATCACTGCAATCACCACCTAGGGATACCCAGTCTCTAGTGTTCTCCACTGGCTTTTATTGAACAGTGCAACTCCCCCACCTCCTCTGTTTCCTCTATCTTTCCTCATGATCTGATATCCGGTTGGAAAGATCATGTCTGTTATCATTCCCATAAGCTTCGTATCTGTAAGTGCTTTGATATCTGGGGATGCTTCTTCTGTGTGTGTGGGGGGGTGTTAGCATTTGTGTGTGTGGGGGGGTGTTATTGTGTGTGTGTGTGTGTGTGTTTTTGCGGTGTGTGTGTGTGTGTGTGTGTGTGTGTGTGTGTGTGGGGTGTGTGCATGGCTTTTCGTGTGTATAGTTACTAGTTGTAAAAGGCATTTGTCGATAGACACTTGACCTGGGTGGTTGTTTTTTGTGTGCTTGCGCATGCACGCGTGGGTGTTAGTGTGTGTGTACTCACCTAATTGTGGTTGCAGGGGTCTCTCAGTAGTAGTACCAGTTCCTAGTAACCAGTTACCAGTAACCAGTGTACCAGTAGATGACTCACTACCAACCGTCTGCATGAATCATTGATTGTTATTCATATTGCTGCTGACCATAGCAGGATTTCAAACACCCCTCACCCTGTAGGCACTTGTGGGTCAGTTGAAGATAGGGAGCTGAGAGAGAGGCAGGTCGGCTGTTGGCGCTTCCCATACTTCCCGTTATATATTATACGTACAAACCAGCCTACGTGAGTATTTTTACCCCATCCATGTTATCGAAACCCACATGACAAATTGGTGGCACCGGTGTGGGCATGGATTTACGGGTAATTTCAGACGTTAGAAGACTGTGGGTTGCCGGCAGGTCAGAGGTGAACCGTCTGCCACCTCCAGCTAGCAGTTACCCTCACTCTCCTCCCCCTGTGTACTCTAGCCTGCAAGCCTGTTGCAGCCGCTTTTTCAAGCTTCCTGGCTTTGTTCGTGTGCTAATTGCTTCAATCTCCGAGGGGTTGACCCGGGTTTTGCAATTAAACCAGAAGACTGTTAGCTAGTACACGCAGTTGCATTTGATAGCCGAGTCCTTACGAAGGCTGAACGTAATTATACAGTACTGAGCAGAAACTTTAGCAATAGTATGGTCTTTAAAGCACTTACGAGAAATTATTTATCAGTACGTACTTGTTCTGTCTTGACAGACCACGCTCCATGGATTACATTTATTCCAGAACAAAACAACCTACGGAAGGTTAGCCAGATGGACCTTGACTATCAAGGTTCATCCCTCCTTTGATACACTTACCTGGCAAGTCAAATGTTGTGCTGATGCCTTATTCGAGCGACATCATGTTAGTTATTGTAACTGCAGACCCTCCATTTAGTGGCTGAGGATGTTAAAGAAATGCTCATACGAACAGAGATCCCATGTGGTCTGGTGTCTGTGATTCGACTCATGCTCCAGGAAGAATCTTTATTCTGATGTGATGCCACCAGAACCCATCAGTGACTTGTCATGAACAAGAATTACGGTATCGATCAGCGAGTTGGGTAATCCTTGCAGAAGAGTATTTACCATGTAGTTCCACAGTCATAGTGAATGTAGCCTTACAGCTAGTCACGATGATACCAGTGTTGCGCACCCTGGGTGATGGATCGTTCAGTTAAACTAGCCAGATTGAAATACTTTTGGCCTCGTAGGGCAACTGATATTTCTGAGTATGTTATGGAATGTAGTGTCTGCATGCAGCGTAAAGGTAATGTTAAATGGTGCTAATCCAATCCAAGTGTATTCCAACTTTCCTAGAGATAACTGTGGCGAAAGATTTGCGCTAGGAATTTGTTAATCTTAATTTCCATTGTTACCCTCCCAAAGGCAACAAACATCTGTGTGTTATGGTAGACCATTTCACCAGATATTGTAGTTAGTTCCTATTGCAGATAAGATGCCGGACAGTAGCTTAAAGCGTTTTAAAAAGAAAGCATTATCGGCAGGCATACACCCTAAGTCCCTTAGTAACAGATAATGGAGGTGAATTCTTGTAATGAGATTCTTGAAAATTTGTTTGTACCTGTACAAGATCTCTAAATCCTCCATTGTTCCTCATTCATCCTGCCAGCAATGGCTGTTTGCGGAACGAACAATAAGAAAGTACTTGATGTCATTGAGAGCCACTATCAATCCCACAGTGAAACTTGTGGATGAAGTTATACCTGATGGTGAAAGTGTGCTATAAATTTGCTTACAATGTTTCTATAGGTGACACTCCTCATATGCATTGTACATATTGAATAAACGTTTGCCTTATGAGTTGTTATATTCTAATTACGAAAACCAATTACAACTGATGATTACATAGCAACTCGTCGTACCAGCTTTAGCTTAAAAGTGTTTTAGAAGAATCGTTGTATTGAAACACTTCATAAATTCAACAGCAGACAGAATTTACAAGTTGTAGCTAACAGCTCGAGGCAAAGCCGTCAAAATCAAAGTAGGTTCAGAGTTATGCTGACTAATTTAACAAAAGTCTGCAATGCCTAAGGCTTGATCAAAAGTTGTTGGTCCCTTATCGAGTAGTTGAACTATCACTTGCGTAATAAGTATAAGGTTAAGAGAAATTAGTATGGTCAGTATAAGAATCGCATTAAGATCTATGAAGGTTTAGTATGTGATGATAATGATGTTCCAAAACCCAGACTTAATGTTGGACTGGACTCTGACAATCCTCCTGATCCTGTACTCTCTACCTATGATACTCAGTCTGGATGTTCAACATGAATGTCGTATTCCTACGTACACGACAGGTATGGTAGAAATCATCAAGTATCCATTTGTAACTAACAATTCAGATTTGCCTCAAATACAGCATGAGTTAGCCAGTGAAAACAAGGTTTGATCCTCCCAGAGATGACACCCATTCTGCATTTATCAATCTCACCATAGCAGAGTTGGGGTTAAATGTAAATAACCTGTATAGATGAATAATTACAGTATCTACTTACCTGTATTCATGAATTTTTTTGTTGTGTTCACGTTCTCTCGAATATTTATGAGAGTTAACAGGTGCTAGATTTGAAGTGCAACGAATTGCATTCTCTGTTAAACACTTTTTCTTTGTATATATTTCCTTCTCAGAATCCGTAGTTCTCAATGAATACAGTCGCATCGATCAATTTTTTTTTTCACTTTATGGTGTAAACCCAATGTTGAGTTTCCGATGAGGTTGTGCTATATCATACTTGTAATGGTTACAGTTTTATTACAGTTTCAATTATTGTAAGCTTCCATTCCAATTTTCTACTTATGTAATTATATTGTTCAATTGTTGTGTTAATTTGACATGTATAGAATCAGCCCAAGCGCTTCACCCTGCCGTCTCTAGTTTGTAGTAGCTGTTATATCGGGTTGAACATACCGTTAGCGTCGCGAGCTTCCAGTTAGTAGTACCTGTTCTTCGTAACCAGTTTACAGTAACCAGGGTACCAGTAGATTGACTCACTACCAACCGTCTGCGTTTTAAATCTTGAATGTTATTCATATTGCTGCTGACCATAGCAGGATTTCAAAACACCCATCACCCTGTAGGCACTTGGGGTCAGTCGAAGCTGGGAGTGAGAGAGAGGCAGGTCGGCTGTTGGCGTTCCCATTCTTCCCGTTATTTATCATACGTACAAACCCAAGCCTACGTGAGTATTTTTACCCATCCACGTTATCGAAAACCACATGAAAGGTCGGTCACAATCCATAGCCCTGCCTCTTAACTGGTCATACTAGGTACACTTCCTGCTCCATGAGCTTTATCATACCTCATCGCAAAGCTATGTATGGGTCCTGGTCGCCACTACATCACCTTCCAGAGTTCCACTTTCTAACAACTCTGTGACTGAACTGACTGTGACATGAAAATTATTTCTAACATCCCTAGTGGATCATCCGAGTCTTAACTTCCAATTTTTTTTCTATTTTATTTAAAAAGACATAGTACATAAAAACAACAACAATTTACCATTTACGAAAACAGTGGTATAAAATGTCATTACACGCCTTAAATACAAGATAATTCTTAATATATATTACAAAATTCTCATTGGACATGTACATCCATTGATAGGGTACGTCAGAATGACTCCAAAAACTAATTATTTGTGGGCTTTTTGATACAGTAAACCCATTGAAACCTGCCAGGTTCTTGTTTAGTAATGACAACCACTGCCTGGAACACTAAATCTAACCTAACAACACCCCAGCAGATACAACCTTATTCCTGGTTGTACATCCTGAACGCGAGTGTACACTCTTACATTTTCTAAACACACTCCCCCCCTCGTTGTGTGGCATGCCAACTGCTACTTATCTTTTACATAAAAACTTGCCAAGTTACCCATAGTCAACATGGATATATATACACGGTTAGCACAGTGAAAACTTAGTTATACGTGCATAGTAACTACAAAAGCCATACAGAATCAAACAGTGCAGACTAAATATAGATTTGTCGTACAGAAAGGATGGCTTTACAAAAAGAACACACCATGAACTTTAATCTACACTGAGCCCACTCATAATAGATGCTATGTGAATACTTAAGGTTTCAGTATCCTCTTCAAGCCTATGAAGCAATGAGGTATTAAAACCTGTCTAAGGGAGAAGTCCCGTATACAAGAAAAAAAACAAATACTAATATAATGTACACAAACATGACACTAACCCTCCCGTACCACGACTATACTCATGGCCAGACACAGTTTGAAGTGCAAATGGAGGCTTACCCAAAGTGTATAAATTTGCAAGAAACCCCACATGCTTATAATGTGTCACAGGTTTATAAATTCAGCTTTTCACACGTAAACCTGACACAAGCAGTGACAAACACTGCTAAAAATAAGAATCATACAAGAATAAACGTCGGTCACTCCTCACTCTCGCTGCTGTAAATATCACATAATTTTATGGACCTCTTTCAATACTCACATACTAAAGCTCAACTCCTCCCTGCCCCACTCGGAGACTAGCCCTTTTCCTACCCTTTACATATTACATAGATCCCGCAGCCTAA